CTGCTGGGTTGGCACTTGAAGGCCTTGGGGCCATCATGCAATTCGAATGGGCTCAAGACGGCCTTGGGGCCATATTTCCCTTGGTTGCTCGTGACGACCTTGGGGCCGCGGATCAGATGAACTAGGTTCATCTTCTTTCATCACTACGACACAGAAGTTAACAATGCCCTTCGTCTCAGGTTCTTCCATGGTTCACAATGAATAGAATGAATTTTGCTTTAGTAAGTCTTCTGAGGTTGAAGACTCTACTTTCCTTGCTCGAAGTGGCACTTTCATCCCCTTCATTTGTTTGATGAGCAGGTTCCAATAAATTTTCTCCTAAAATTGGAACTGGCTTCGACATCCTTCTTGATTGGCTCATCCCACAAAGATGAGAGCAAAGTTGATCAACACCGGCAATGTGTGATATCCTGGGAGAAGGGAGCTCGGAGCTGACTTTGGAAGTTTGTGTTTTCTTGGAGAAGGGACATGCTACTTTATCATCTTGGGGGGCATCATCTTGCCCCGAGTCCAGCCTCGAGGGCTAGGTCGTGCAATCGAAGAAGGAGTGGATAGGATGGTGCTCAAAGGAAACTTCTTCGAGTACCATGTAGTCAGGGGCTTTGGGGTAGATAAGGGTGTATTCAATTGCACGATTCCCTTGGGGCCGATAGCATCATTGGATCTGCATGTGTGTGCATAGTTCACAGAAGTGCTTGGGGTGGTTTGTGATCCAAGCCTCAGTGAAGTGGAAGGCTTGGTATTTGTAATACCTGCCTTTATAGTTGGAGCAGCCTTAGGCCCATTAGCATGCATGTGTAAATTTTTAGGGGACCTTCGATTGATTTGAAGGTCGTGTGCTCTTCTAAGTGCAGCCTTTGGGCTGCCCCGAGCTAAGGGATTATCATGCAATTCTTTAGTGGTTCAAGGACCACATGTGATGGGTCTGGGTCCCAAAAGACCCAAAACAAGTGAATTGACTAGCGTAAGCTTCTGCTTGCCCCATTTTGTCACGGCCATGGTCGAACCATCGGCAGTGATATGTGTGAGTGTGTGAGGAGTGAATTTGGAACCACTCGAACAAGATGAACTGACACAGGAATTGCCAGTATGGAGTGTGTGTAGTGACATGCTAGTATTAGCAGTGCCCATGTAGCATCAAGATGGGGCAGCCTTGCGGTTACCTGCAGATATGGTGGTCTTAGAAGAACTCACCAAATGAAGCGAAGAAATGGCATCAAAACCACCTCTAAGATTAGGACTGGCACAGTGTCTACCAATAAAAGAGTACATATGACAGTAGGTGGTTTGAGGACCATCAATGCATTTGACATCGACAGACTTTCCTTTGATGTTGGAAGAGAGGGGACAAGGGTTTCCCTAGCTTGAACTAGGGTAGCAAGGCTAGTCAGGCCACTAGAGGAACACATGGTAGAAGCAAAACTGATCGTTTTGCTTCCCATGGGTGAGGTCACAAATATGGGAATGATGAAATCCCTAATTTGGACAAAAGAGGAGTGATTGAACTCCATTGCAAGTTCTTTAGATGAAGAGAGAAATGAAATGTTTGTTCGAAAACAGTCAATGCCAACTATAGGGTGGCGTATCCCCAGTGGAGTTGTCAGTTGGTCGGGGCCCAGTCTTCCCTTGGTCCTGCTCCTCGGGGAGAAGAGAAAATACCATCTCTCGAACAACTGCAAGGAATCACGCGCTTCCTTGGTGCAGTGCGTGGTCTCTTTTAGTGCGGATAGGAACCAATAGTGAAAGAGATTTTAATCGACAAAGAAGTGTTCAGACACTTACCTTGCTGTTTGGGATTCGAGGATACGCCCAGGCAGTCACTCTCTTAGAACAATTATCAAGCCCTCCGGCTATCCAACATCACGGTTTGGATGCGGACCCCTCTCTGAACTCAACACGTCACTTCACTTCTTTATTTCAAAAATTGCAATGGAGGTTCGAGTAAAATACTCCTCTCATGTCAGTTATTTGAGTTGGCTAGCTGGCAAATATATGTCAAAAGAAGAAAGGTGATGGAAGCCCTTTATCGCTCGTGTATTACGATACTTAATGATCTGAGCAGTCAAAAGAGTCAGAACTCTACAAGATGCTAACTCAGGATGACTCCATCCCAGTGAGAGAGGGAAAGAGCATCTATATCTCTCGCAACTTAACTCGACTGTACGAAGTGGAAGTTAGAGTAGCAATATGAGAGTTAAAAATCTTAAAATGACTCTGCAAAACACTAATTCAAACACACAATAAACAAAAGAGACTATCAATACATAGAAATACGATTAAGAAAATGAGGGGTTAGAGTTATAGGCATGTGCAGCTAGAAGACAAGGGAGGAATGGACGAGAGAGTTGTGTTTGCACGAAGGGGCAAGCACGAGTTCAAGTGTAAACAAGAGAGGGGATGTTGAAGACAAGAGTGCGAGAGAGGAGGAGTCCACTCTAGTGCGCAGCCCCGAGCTTCAAGTGTAGATGGTAGATAAGGAGGGAAGAAGACATGAGGGACGTGAAATGGGAGTCCTCTATAGCTTGGCAAGTGTAGATGAGAGATGAGGGGAAAGAAGACAATAGAGATGAAGAGGGACGTCCGCTCTAGGATACATACCCATGCATTGAGGGGGTGAAGAAAAGGGAGATAAGAGAGAGAAGGGACAAGGCGGCCTCTATGCGCTGCTACGTGCCTAGAACATATGAGCATATGAGCTGTATCCACACAATGGTGTTGCCCTAGGCCTTTGGGACGTGAGAAGAACGAAGATGAGAATGACAGGGCCACTGGCTAGGGCGACTTTGGACGTTGCGTGCACTATTGGGAGGAAAGAGAGGTAAGGGTGTACAGAGCCGGGGCCACTGGTAGTCACAGCCCTGGATGTGCGTGTGAGACTGAGAGGAAAAGAATGAAGAAGAAAGAAGGAGAAGGGGCTGAGCCATGCGTGTAGCAGGAAGAGGAGAAGAGACGAGGAAAAAAGGAGAAGAGACGGGGGTGCAGATTTGCTGCGGCTCTAAATTCTGTGTGCAGGGAAGAGGGGTAGAGAGAGAAAGAAGGAAGAAAGAGAGGGGAGAGAGGAGAGAGAATGGGCTTGGGGTGTGTCCTAGCCTAAGTGTAGCCCCATTGGCCTTCTTGAATGCGCATGAGAGAGAGAAGGGTTAGGTTTGGGTATAGGTTTGCATGTGATGTATGGACTAGGGTGTAGGGTCAGGGGTATGGACTACGGTGTAGGGTGTGTTGTATGGACTAGGGCATATGGGCTACGGGTAGTTTCTCTCGCTACCTAAAATTTCTCTCTCCTCTCCACTTGATCCATAACTTGGAAGCAAGGCAAAATAATGAACTATGATCTCACTTCAACTCCCAAGTTTCATTCAAAAATGATCAAGCCCTTTTACAAATGAATTAAGCCCACTTGTATAGAGCAACCACAAAACAAGGGTGGCTTGCGCAAAACTAAGCCAAATAGTGGAAAATTACATATTAAATGAATCGAAATAAAATCCCTTTTTCTGATCAAATGACCAAAATACCCTTTAGCACTTTTGGGCAAATGACAAAACCATCCCTCCATGAGGGGCCTCTTGCCATGGCTAAAATTCGAGAGCTTTTTCGGATGCTTGCAGTGGTAATTCAAGTAATCAACCGTTGTAGAATCGATGTTTGATCTATCACGAACATTTTGATGCCCTTTGATCGTCTTGAACGAACTTTCATGAAGAACCAAAAATCTAGCCAAGTCCATAAACTTCGACCAAGATGCGATTCACAATGTTTCGAGTCCTCATTTTCATCACGAATTAAATAGGACATTGTCACGATTATTTTGCACTAAAGTTTGTCTGATTTGGTTTCCGTTTGAGCATATTCCAATTTGGAAAGTCGTTAGAAAATGGGATTCCGACAACCGAAAAATCTTGTCTTTATCAAACAAAACATTTGTACTATCCGTCCTCCAATTGTACGCAAAAACTATACCAAATCGTAGCCCTTCGCGATATGGTCGCAACGTACCCAAATTTACGATGATCCGCACATCGAGATCTCAAGTTATAACTTCACGAAGTTTGGGATGTCCTCTTATATAAAATCTGACATCGATGGTCTGATACTATTATGAAGCCCCAAAAATAGCGTTGTAGTTATAAGGTCCTTTTTCAGTATGATAGAAACTACATTTGAGAATCGAGTTTCGTCCTGATCGTATCAAAATCGTAATGCGACGAAACTTTGTGAGCGCCCTTCGGGCATCCCAAACTACCCTTTTTATGCCTTTTGAAGCTGTTCTAGTACTTTTTGAAAGGTTGCTCGATTTTAGGCTTATGCTACAGAGTTCCCATGGTCTGGCAGTGTCTTGGGTATCGGCAAGACCAAATTATTACTGGCTCTCTCCCTATGCATCTTGGGGATACAAGTACGTGAAAAATGACGTATAACATTGACAATCACTTCGAACCATCTGATATGAATCGGATGGCAAGTGGTGTACCTTTGACCAACATCAAAGTTTGAGATAATTTTCCTCAATTTTTTAAAGGGAATCCACACAATAGCTATTCTATTTTACTTCTAACATTTTGGGATTGTTCCCATAGTGTAGGAAAAGTAATTGTCAAATTTTATATGAGAATGATGCTGGTAAAGAGCACCTAACTAGTAAACAAACCCTAGCCATCCAATTTTATATCTAACAGTTTGATAAAAGACCATTCAATGGTAAAGACTTTATCAATTACAGATGAAACTCATTTTCTTTTTATCAATACACATGTTTTTCCGACGACAACAATAGTATAGACTTTATCCATTGTGGCATTGTAGGGTCTGATGAGGAAAGGGTAAAAAAAGATTTACATCTTTCAAGGGGCATACTCCAAGAATGCTGAAATTTGAGATAAGTCTACTTAAAACAACTAAACACACAAAATGTAATGACATTTCACAATTGAGTCTTTCTTGTCCCTTTTACAGACTAACAAAACTACAAGTAAATGTTGTCGTTAGAGGCCTTGAACATCTCAAGCCAAATGCTCAGCAAGATCCCTCGATACAATATTCTTTGCAATGATGTCGTACATCATTTCTGTGAGATGTACACCATCGAAGGGCACATATTTTGAGCGATCAGGGCATGTTTTTTGTCCCCGACAAGACTTGCCTAATTCAAAACCTCCTCTCCCGAGTAGCCTTTGTAAGATTCGGTAAAACCTGTGAACCATCATTCATATATTAGATTAAAAAGATACAAAAAAAGGTGTCAAATCAAAGAACAAGGATTTTCTCTCACCATATTTATGGGGATTGTTCACTGCATCTTGTAAGGTGTTGAATGTATCCACATATACAGCTCTAACATCAGGATCTAACCGTTGGGGGAGTTGGGAAAGCATGCGAAATTGAATTGCCGAGCGATTCCATTAAGATACGTGATACATCCTGAGCGTACATTCATACATGCCTTGAAAATTGCTAGACATCCCAATGGAGGGAGTCCAACCACTGAAAACCTTCCCCCTCCAACTTTATGCATTTCCTAAGGAGAGATAGAGAAAGATGATGTATCAATTACTTAATCGTAAGAAGGAAAATTTCAAATATATTGTGTTTAATCAGTGTTTTGTCAGGAAAGCAAAGAGAGTTGCATTGAAATTTGAGATTTACAGGCAAATAAACATAATGGGGCTATCCAAAGAATTCACTTTTATGTATTCAAAAAGGTTGTTTACAAGAAGGTCTTGATATTGAGAGTTGCTGCCTGCTTTGTGGGCGAGTGAAGTAGTTTTGGAGGAAGTCATTTATGTCGGCACTAATAACAAAGACTGCATTTTTTAGTTTCTTTTGTGCCTCCTTCACTCCTTTAACTTAGTCAGCTTTGCATTATAATTGTGCAAATAGCCAATACGTTTCTCAAATGATAGGGATTTCTGCAACACAAACACAAAGAGACTCAGCCTAATGAGTAAGCGTAGAACAATATAATGGTTAAATGAAGGGAAAATTGTATATACCCCCTGGACCGTTCTATCCAGGCATGCCCCACTCCAATATTTTTTAAACCACATGGCTTACCCCAATAGCATTTAGTTTTGCATTCGTCTTAAGAAAGTGGCTGTTTTCATGACGAAAATAGCCCATGTGTATGTAAGATGGCTTCTCTACCTTGAAAACTTGAAATTTTTATGTCTTACGAGAGAAACTAACTCAAAAATTTTAGAGAGAGAAGCTACCTCAAATTTCAAATTTTTCAAGAGAGGACCTCAAATTTCGATTTCCTAGAGAGAGAGACTATCTCAAAAATTTTAGAGACAGAAACCATCTCAAACTTTTTGAGGTATAAAGTATTATTTAAAAGGACAATAAATACATAACTCGAAATTTGAGAAAATCTCTCATCTAAAGCTTGAAATTTGAGATTCTCTCTCTAAAAATTTTGAGTTACTTTTTCTTTTTAAAAATATAAAATTTGAGATAGTTCCTCTCTCTAATATTTTTGAGATAGTTTGCCTCGCTAAAATTCTAAATTTCACGTTTTAAGAGAGACAAACTGTCTTAGTTACACGAATTTTTTGTTCTTTTAAAATCCACTTTTGTACCCGTAGAGTATTATTCATCAAAACCAACAAGACTAGCCGACGTGAAATTTTGTGAATTTATGTTTTAAAGGTCATATGGTTCTATCTAGCTTGTAACAGTTCAATCTAAAGAACGTATCGTTCTATTTATGGATTACATCAATGTACTAAAGAAACATTTAATTGGTGCTTTAAAAGCCACTCTATTTTGAATTGTCTTGTGGATTAAACGACATTCTTATCTTAGTTGATAATGATGACAATGATGAAATAATAAAAATAAATAATAAATACATAATTTGTTTTACTTTAGAAAATAAAAGAAGGCGAAGAATGATCATACGGTGAAACGAGCAGTCAAATTATCATAACCTGATGCAGCAGAGGCAAAACTAACACCATGTAATAAATCCTCACTCTTTAGACCTTCTACTAAATATCCGGCGATTGTCCTCTTTAGCCCCAATAAGTCAGCTTAAAAAAAACAGTTAAAAATTGCAAATAGTTCGTGAGAAGGTTTAACAAATTGGATATGAGAATTATTATTATTATTATTATTATTATTATTATTATTATTATTATATAATAATAATAGTAATAATAATAATAATAATAATAATAATAATAATAATAATAATAATAATAATAATAACAACAACAATAACAACAATAACAACAATAACAATAACAACAATAACAACAATATCATATAAAGGTTTAGCAATAATAGCTAGATCTTTTATAATATCTGATATGCAATTTACGCATCCTAAAAATGTTTGTAATTCTATTTTATTAAGAATTACATCAGGAAATTTATTTGAGAATTTAATTGCTCGATCTATTGGAACAATAGTTCCTTGAAAGATATTGTGGCCTAAAAATCTAATTTTTGTTTGACAAATATTTACCTTTTTAGCAGAACCACTAAACCTACATGTTTGACCGCATTTAAAAAGGTATTCAGATGTTTGAAATGTTGATAAATATCATCTGAAAAAATTAACACATCGTCGATGTATACTATCATGAATTTTATGTAAGGGCTAAATACATTATTCATTATTTTTTGAAATTCAGAAGGAGCATTTTTTAATCCGAATGGCATAACATTCTATTCGTGCTGTCCAAATGAACATTAAAGGCTATTTTATATCTGTCTTTTTTATTTATTTGTATTGATCAATATCCTGATTTAAGATCAAATTTTGAAAAGATAAAAACATTAACTAATCTGTCTAATAAATCCCTTTTATTAGGTATTGGGTATCGAATCCATTTTAAACCTTTATGAAAAGGTTTATAATTTATAAGTAGTCTTGGAACTCCTCTTCTTTTTCGGCTGCATTTTCTACGTAGAAAGCAGCACAACTCTACGGATAAGAGCTTGGCCTGATTAAATTATTTTTCAAGAGTTCACCTATTTCTTTTTTACAAATTTCTAATAATGTTGCATTCATTTGTATTGGCCTGGCTTTAGTAAGTATTTTGCTTTCTGATAATCCTTCTTCATAAGGAAGGCTTATCACATGTTTCTTTTTGTTCCAAAAAGCGCTCGGTAATTCACTACATTTTTTTTTTTCTATTTTTATTTTAAACTCTTCAATCCTCTTTTTTATTTCTGGAAGTAAAAGATCTTGTTCTATTACTTTATATTTAACTTCTGTTTTAAAATGATAAAGAAATTTTTCTTTATTGTGAATAGTTTGTTTAACTTTATTTATTTCTTTAACCTTTGGTTGTTCAATAAAATCAAATTTTATTTGATGACCATCTAAATTGGCTTCGGTACCGGTATGGTCTATTTTTAAGGGATATAGGATACTTAAGAATGATGTTCCTAATATTACTGATTGGCTTAGTCCTTTACCATAATAAATGGCATTTCTAAGCAATTTCCATTGTTACAGACAACTGCATCAGATAGTTTATAAATTATTATGATTTAGCCTTGGGCCTTGCTAGACTTGATGGAGACCTAGGCTGAGGCTGGACGGGATGTACCTTGCAAGACTCGATGGGTTAAGGTTAGAACCCTAAACTAAGATGGACCTGGTCCAGTCCTAGACGCAATTCTATATCTAGACGTAGGTTGAGAGCTAGCCTAGATGGGTACAAGTCTTGGCTCGAACCGAGAGGGCCTAGGTTCGGATCAGGTATAAACTCGATTCGGATCCGGGTTAGGCTAGGGCACAAGCCTGAGCTTGGACCTAGATGGTTTGAGATTTAGACCGGGTGTGGACCTGGACTAAGATTTAGATGAGATTTGGTGTGAGCCTTAGCTTGCACCAAGAGGAAGCCTAGGTTCGAGCCCAGTTGTGAACTTGGTTCGGACCTAGGCTAAGCTAGATACAAGCCTAGATTGAGACCTATAAGGTTTCAAATTCTAACCAGGTGTGGACCCAGACTAAGATCTAAGACTAATCGATAAACAAAGCACTTGAAAACTTCTGAGTGGGTTCTAACTACAAAAATGCAGCAGGCTGAGTGGGTCCCCACGTAGGTCCTGACTACCTGTTAAGGGAATCAGTCAAGTCCTACTGTGTGTGGAGTTGTTTTGAGGCTAAATACTATGGAGGGGTGCTCACTATTAAAGTTATGTGAATCCCAACCATCTCGGCTCTCAAGGCTAGGTTAGGCGTGTAAAGAAGCAAGTAAGTGAAAATAAAGTGGCAAGCAAGCAAACACAAAAAGAAAGAAAAATGTGAGTGGTTAGGTACATCGATCTCGCCCTCCAGATCTAGGTGATCTGGTGGCACATGTCTCGGGTTTCTAGTGGACCCAAAACTTGAGATTGCTCTCTTGGAACCTTGTTAGAGGGTAAGGGCAGGTATACCAACCAATGAGAGAGGAATTTTAGGTGGGTTCGGGACTTACTCGGGCTGGCTTGTGTGGGCACCCTCTTAAGTCACGAAGACGGGCCCTTAGCTGCTTGAGCTGGTTCAGAATCACCTCCCTTGACCTGTAATCCTCTTGTTTTTCTGCACAACACTTCTATGTTTAATTTGTAAGACAAGTGGGTCAAAAATGACCCACCCTTGTCTTAGGGCAATGCATGTTCATGGGAGAAGGCGATGAAGTGGAAGGTTAGACCAAAGGTAGAAAGGAGAAGAGAACTTGAAGGAAGGGCGAGACTAGGATGACGGCCAGAAATTGTCGACTCGGAGTGGTAGCAAGACGAGCATGGTTCAAGGACCAGCACGACGACAATGCTGCTCTAAACCGAGATCAGCACGTCGACGTTAAGCTATGCCTACCCTCAATCACGTGAGAAGAGAAAGCGGTGGAGTGGAAAGAACGAGATGGCGTAGAGAAGGGGAAAGCCGGACGTCGATAGACATCGCGGCGGGCAATGCAAGGAGGCAGTGTATCCCTTGTGGACGGTGCTAGCTCCTAACAAGGCACACGGTGATGGTTTCACCTAGGTCGCACCGCTTTTGGCGTGGGACATAGGGGGAACGGTGATAGGCACCGAACACACAAAGGAATCTCGCAAATGGCGATGGGTATTTCCAAGGCCTCTATCAGGCAGGGATAGGTCTACGTAAGATTCGTACCAGAGGAAGACTCACAAACTTAGTCGTCTAGGTTGTTTACCGAGACATCAAAGCTCCGTCCGTAGGCGGCAATGGGCAGCGCCGCCGCCTACAGACTTCACTAAGAGAAAGAGACAGATGAGAAAGAAAGGAGGAAGACTCGCGCATGGTGCTACCATTGCCATGCACGGCCTGTGAGACTAAGGGAGAGGCATGCACGGCACTGCCACAGCTGTGCAGACCTCCGCGAGGGACTCAGAAGAAGAAGAAGAAGAAGGGAGGGGAGAAGGGAGAGAGAAGAAGAAAAAGAAGACAGAGAAGATTTACCTCAACCCTAAGGGTACCGGTCGAAAGTTTCTCTCACCTCATCCTCTCTCTCAAGCGTAACACCACAATTGTGAGAAAGAGAAACTTATATTAAGTGAACACTCTCTCTTGTGTGTGTATGTGTCTGCCTTCTCTCCTCCTTTCTTTTACGTAGAATAATGGTACGTATATATAGAAGTGTGCCCCAAACATGGGTGTATGATCAAAAGTAACCCTAATTGCTGAAAATTAAGATTAAATTGATTTAAAAGAAATTTGAAAATAGGGTGCAAAATGATAGATTTGCCCCTTCCTAATAAGTTGTGGAATTCCATAACAGTCCTTGTGTTGCCCTAGGACTTGCGTGTTCTTGCATGGCTGATCCAGGGTCGTTCTAATGCCCGATTGATCGTAAGATGCTTGATTTCATGTAGGGTTTGGCATGATAATCGATTTGATACCAACTTCGAGCCGTGGATCATGTTTTTCGTGCACGATCTTGTCACTTGAATTTTGAGTAGATCTTGAAACTTTGAATCGATAGTGTGTTTGTTCCTTGATGCTTTGCTTTGTTTTCTTCATTGAATAATACTGAGCATGCCACTACGATCATGGCGCACCAAACGCAGCTCGATTCTGTGGCCAAATGAAGATTTTGCAAGTTTGGAATTTTTGCTAGAATCAAGGATTCCAGCGATGGTATTTGCAGTCAGCTTTGTGTGCAGAATCCGACCATTCATCATGTACGGGGTTCAGGTCAAAGATGGCCTGAGACCTTACGCCAGCAATGGAATTGGTCTCGCATCGATCGGGCTCACGAACGGTGTAATTTGGCCACTCGAGCAAGGCATGATGCTGCTGAATTTCCTGCACTTTCTTCACGGATGAGCAACTTCTCTTTAGCTTTTCTTCACACTCGAGTATTGTCACAATACGTGCCACATATCGAATCGTTCGTCTTGGCTAGATGAACATGCTCACCAAATTTGAGTGCGATCCGATGTGGGACAGCCGAGATATGAGTGTCGAAAATCACTGGTCATGACTGTCCCTTTAATGGTGTAGTGTTGCAGGATGGCCGCACGGGAATAGCGTGCGGCTCCTCCTATTTCACTCTTTCCCCTATAACTTCTTCCTGAAGTGTCTATTTGGGCTGAAAATTGACCCCCTGAGGGTTTTCGACCATGACTGATCCAATGTTGATGGTCCCACAGCAATTTGAGATGCTGAAAATTTAGCTCTAGTTATAGGGGTCGGTTTCAAGGTGCTAGAAGCTGATTCTACTGGAACTGTTCCTCAGTCTGCACTGCCTTAAACATTTCGAAATGTGACAAAACTTGGTAGGAGACTTTTGAGATACCTCGTGAAGATCTTGGCTAGTTCTAGAGA